GAAACTCAAGCATCATCCAGCGGGCCCTTCTCATTTCAGAAGGTACCAGCTGATGGATGCACCGGGCCCCAGAAGCTGAATAACGATCCTGAACTCGTGAAGACCAAACGATCTCAACCTGCTTCCATCATCCGGGCTGGTGCAGCATCTTCTCCTTGCTCCGGACCCAAGTCCCTTCGGGTGCTGCCGGAAGCGGGAAGAGCTCCGCAACGCCGCGCGGCGGCGGGGCAAGCTCAGGCGGCTCCCGCTTCCGGCAGCCACGAGCCTTGCCGATTCGCTGCACCCCTAACGAACCGCGTTCACTCATTGTGTGCCCCGACGAGCTTGTACTCAGCCTGAAGTGTCACCACGTGCGGAGCAACAGCCGCTCGCCCTCACAAAGTGTAGCCTCAAGGAGCTGAGCACTGCGATGCATCCGCGATGCACCGTGTTGCATCCACGATGCACCGGGATGCATCTGCGATGCACCACGATGCCCCTGTGGTGCACCACGGTGCACCACAATGCATCCATGATGCACCACGAGGCACCTGTGATGCACCACGATGCATCCACAATGCACCTGCGATGCACCACAATGCCTCTGCAATGCACCACGCTGCACCCGTGATGCACCGCACTGCACCCACAATGCACCATGATGCACCCATGATGCACCCGCAATGCACCATGAGGCACCCGCGATGCACCACGATGCAGCATGATGCATCCGTGATGCACCATGATGCACCTGCGAAGCACCATGATGCACCCACGATGCACCCACGATGCAGCATGATGCATCCGTGATGCCTCCACGATGCACCACGATGCATCCGCGATGCACCGCGATGCATTCACAATGCATCCACAATGCATCATGATGCACCGCTATGCATCTGCGATGCACCACGAGGCACCCACGACGCACCTTGATGAACCCGCGATGCATCACGACGCCCCTGCGATGCACCATGCTGCACTGCGTTGCACCATGCTGCACCCGTGACGCATCACGCTGCACCACAATGCACTGCGCTGCACCCCTGCAGCACCCACGCAGCACCCCCACTGCACCCGCCATTGCTGCGGGCTGCAGGCAGC